TATATACATACATATACAGCAAGAGAGAGAGAGACAGGGAAAAGAGGGAGGTAGACAAAGACAGAACGAAGTCGCCCGGTAGTGGGGGTGGGGGTAAGGGGGGAGGGAGGTTACAGGTCCCTCACCTATCCCGCACGCAATGCTAATTGTTTGTATGAGTACAGCCAGGATGAGGAATCGCTCTGAATTAATGCTATTGATCCAGTCCACAAGATGGACGCGCGTGCATAAACATTGCGCCAGTGAGTGGCTTTTTCCCTGGCGCTCTTGGGGACGTAATGGCGGCAAGGGAAATACAAAAGTACTAACAGATGTGCCGGCTTGTCACAAATAGGATTAGCCCCCTGATCGACAAGACAGACTGAATGAACGCGGAATGAAAAATGCGCAACAGAGGGACGGACGACTTGGAATAGTAATAATAATAATATAATTGTCGTTGGGCCTACAGTTTTTTGGCAAAGTTTCCAAAACCTGTATTCTGGCCAAATTTGGGGAGGATGGGGTTAAAACGTTGTACACCCGTATTTAATGACCAATTTCGGAGTCAGTGACCTGCATTTCATTGAAAAACAAAGAATACATTTGATGGTTTGGCCAGCCACTTGTTATGAATGCCACCTAGTCAGCCAGCCTCGAGAACCCAGGCCACAAAGGAAGTAGAGGTAGATCACGTAAAAAATGGATTTTTTAATTATTTTTTTTTAAATTATTTTTTGGGGAGGGGGGGGATAAAAGGGAATGGTAAGAAACTACAACACCTCGACTGAATAAGCTGTAGAGTTGGTCTTCTATAGAGAATATTCAAAAATCTGCATCTCCATTCGACATTCATCGGCAACAAAGGATGAAAACCGGGAAAAGGGGGAAAGTAGCGGATTGGGGACATAAAACGGATTTTATTTTAAAAAATACAACACCTTACTTGAACAAGTTGCAGAGTTGGTCTACCATTTTTTGTTAATCCGCATCTCCTCTCGACACTCATCGGCAACAATGGATGCAAAGTGTGTGGGGGGGGGGGGGTCGGAGTATATGGGGTGGTACATATAGTTAGGCTCTCACCATTAGATCATTTAGGAGGCAGCTTCCGACCCTGCCTTTCTAGGGCCAACCCTGGCTGAGAGGTACACAATAACAGTATCTTAGCCGAAAGGCCGAGATACTAGATAAGACCTTTCTCCCCACTCGGAAATCGAACTTGGGTTTCCTGCGTGCGACAACGAAGCGCCTAACCACAGCACTGCAGGAGCCGGTTTGGAACCTTAAAGCATAAAGAGTAAGAAAAACGATGCAATGCATGTGCTGGTTTGCCACTATCTGGATAAGCCCTAAGATCGGTGAGTTACAATGAAGGAATGAGACATAAACGTAACAGTGAGAGGAATTACGATAACAGCAGCTAAATCTTTATTGTCCAGATGCTGACACATTGGTTACCAAGCGCACACGCGGGCGCGGGCGCGCGCGCGCGCACACACACACACACACACACACACACACACACACACACACACAAACACACACACAAACACACACACACATACACAAAACACACACACACATACACACACACAAACACACACACACACACACACACACACACACGAACATACGTACGTACGTGCGCGCGCACATCCATACACACACCCTCACATATCATCTCTTCCACGCACATCTGTATTAATACACACACAATAATAGTATGTTTGCTCTCACAAATAGGAAACAGTTATTGTTAACAATAATACTGTTAACCTAGATGCATAATCAATATTCTGATAATAAACCGATGATATTCAGATAATATTATTATATGCGTAAAATATACTTATATTATAAGATGATTAAGATGGTTTAACCCATGGTTTAATAAGGAAAATGGTACGATCTTAAGATTGACCCGACAGTCTTGGAAAAGTTTCCTTTGTTTTGTTTTTGTAAGAGTCTTACGGGACTTGAAACACAATTAAATTTTATAAGTCCCGACAATTAAAGGCGCTACAAGAGAGTAACAAACACAAAAAAGAAGGGAGAGAGATAAGGACGACAGATGTTTGAAAGGAAAAAAGGATCAAATGATACCAAAGCACCTGCCAACCATCCATTCCACTTACTTCGAACGCATTAAAGACAGGGTTTAAAAAATAGGCACGGATATCAAGACAATAACAGGCAAGATAGGGGGTGCTTTCAAATAATTAAGCGGAAATCAGGAACTACAGGAAAAAGAACCAAGATACGGATTTTAACATCAGTTTCAAAGGCGCATTATTTAATGGATTGGAAACATGGACATTTTTGAATGGCCATGAGCATTTTTTAACAGTGAGCTGTTTAAC